GGCCTTCCATATCATATTACTTTCCTAGAATGTTTGAGGTCATACGTGTTTTTAGAAACCAAACTTGGCCTTCTCTTTAACGTTTGGCACTAGTTCTGAATTAAAGCACCACGGAGGATATTTATGGAGCCTGATATGACGGCTTCCTAGGTAGGCGGTGCACCGCCAAGCTTCTTGACAGTCCCGGCATCTCATGATCATCTCACGCAAAACAATCTCTAAACTCCGGGGTCAAGATGACCATTTTCTCCTACTTTTCCGCACTCATCAAAGCACTGATCCGCATTATCTAAGGAGCAACTTCATCCCCCAAATTGACCTCGTTCATCGGGTCTTGCACCTCAAATGGTGGCATAGCTCGTTGGATCGGGGAGTAAATCTCATCTTCACCTTGATCCAAAAGAGGCGGTTGTGGAGGAGCCCTTGCCTGCTCACCAGAAAGGTAAGCGGCATGAGTTCCGGCATGCATTAATGGACAACCAGACCTACCTGCTCTTTCCTCCATATCCTGCAATAGCAGGTCGTCATTCATGATCATCTGATTAGCTATTGGGCCACATGTCGGCCTCAAATTCTCAAGGAAAAACTATGATCATATTTAATTTAAATCCGCCCTAGTAATGTTGGGCTTGTTCAAGGTCCCGATCAACCGATACTATGTCCAAACTTTCTTATGATACTAAGTTGCAATCAAGTGCTCCAGTCATCGGCTCATCCTCCGAAATATGGGCCATTTCGGAGATTGCAGGAGGTTGTTGGTTGGTAGGACATTCACCCTTTGACAGAGGACACTTCGGCCTCCATTCCTTCCGGGCCCGAAGCTGATGACGCAAATCTCCCCAGTCTGCTCTTAATCTTCTCATACTTCTCTTTGATTTTATAAATATAAATATATATATAAGAATTTATATATAATATGAAACTAGAGTATGTATGTATATTTGAGTGATTAATTATGTAAGATTTATTGTGCAATAGTAGTTGCAAGAAATGTTTCACTGATACAATCTGCGGAAGTGATATATATATATTGACATGGAAATTTTGAATTTTGAATTTAAATCTTGATGGCGGATTAATGCATGTAGTGATCTTGGATAGTTGCATTTTCGGCCTACCACTTAGACCGCATCCTTTTATGTCGATACGATGGTATATACTCCTTGCCACGTTCCGCAACCAATTTAAAAGCCGTGTTACAAGTTGGCAAACAAGAACTGTATAATTCCCTAGGTGAGATTGAGAGAAAATAAAATGCATATGTGGTTTGCTGAACTCGATCTTAATTCAAAGCATACTAAAAATACCATTTCTTAGCTCAAAAAGATTACCAGCCAATAAGCTCGCAAGACATTCGATCGCAGCATACATTTAGCAAAGTGAGGGCATTTGTATCCCAAGTGATTGAGGATCCGCCATGCTGACTCCTTCACTGAGGATATAGTATTCATATCCTCGAATAGGTCTCTAGGTGCATCACTGTTTTGTGGATTTTGTAGCAGAAAATTTTACATTTAGAATTCAATCAATGATTTAAATCTTAAATTATGCGCTTACCTTGCATTATTGGAATTATCCATGAAAATCTGTGTAAGAATTGTGCAAAAAATAGTAAAATAAAATAAAATAGTATGAATGAATGAATTAATCATCCAAAAAACTAAGTAAAACTAAGATCTATTTACTACCAAACTTCTAAAGGGTGATGATTAATCTTTTCTTTGATAAATAGGGAAAGAAACAAAATAGCCCACAAACAATATTCAAACTTGTGATGTATAGAACTTGATGAATTTAATTTGTTTGATTTTATACCTATTTTACATTAGGGCTCTCACTAGAAAATGGAGGCTTGTCCCTCAAGTGCTCCCCATGTATGTCCAAGTAAAAAAGTTGCGAGTATTAAAAAGAATAAGCTAAAAACACATCAAGAAAAATATGCATAAATGCATGGTGATAATTGTGGATACTTTTACAATATAATTTGCAATTTTACTGTGTTGGTTATAGTATTATACTACTATGTGACTAACTATAGTAATTGCATAAGCCCTAACGAATTACAATAAATGCTACTAAACATTCTTGAACCCGACAGGAGTTCCACGAAAAACTGTACAACTAACGACAGTCGTAGCTTGGTTTCATCATTTCTTGGACTATATGTGATATAAAACTAGCAGCATCTGCCTTAATAAGGTATGATAAATGCATACGCAATGTATTTCTAGACAACAACCATGCATAAAGATATATAACTAAGATAGAAAAACCCACCAAAAGAACATCTCAACTGAGCATCTCTAGATTTCAAGTTTCTTGACTTGCTCGGAGCCCTTTTATTCTTTCTACCCCATTCCAACCACTTTTTCTTGACACAATGTAAAGTAGACGCACAGTCAAAACCCCTCAAATAATAACAAGCAAAATGAATCTCATAATCAAACACAAAATGCTTTTATTTAGAAGCCTAATCTGCGATCTAGGTTTATACGTTGGATCTTCTTTGTACAACTTTCGAGCCTTTGCAGCTCTGTTATCCTCCTTCTCCTCACGCAAGATAACTTTATGTTGTTTTCGAAAATCCATCTCAAGTTACATACTTTTTGTAGCGTTCTTTCCTTTTCCTTTCTTGGCTCAGGTAAGTGACAGCTTGTAACAACTGCACGCGAGCTGCAAAAATTGAACTTAGAAAACATGGCACACACCCGATGAAAATTTTTGCATAGTTACTGGGCGGGCTCCCTTTCTATGTGGATAATAACTCATAATTTTACTGGAAAGCCCATCTTGACTGGGGTGGTGGTGGTTAAGTTTGTGGTAAGCTGAAGCCGGTAAAAATTGCCAGCCAGCTGGGAAAATGTAAACATCCCAAAACAAGGCCCACACCCGAACATATTTTTGTATAATTGTTGGGTTGAGCTCCCTTTCCATATGGATAAAAATGCATAAATTTATGACAAGGCCAGCATGCTCATCAATTTGAAGCCATGAGGTCTGCTGTTCGAGATATACTAGACCAGGTCTTTTTGCTTATCCTTTTTTTAGGGGGAGGGGGGAATTTTATATTTCTGTTTTTCAATTGCTGCTTGCTTTGGTCATAAATTGTCTGTTGGAGTATTATTATAAGATTTCTTGAAGGTCTTCTGTACATTGTTTGAATGTGGAGGAGCTGTTCTCTTTGGTTTGGACCACCCAAGTTTTATCATTGATTTAAAGGATTCTTGATCATAAGACCATTGTCTCTTGCATTGTTAGTGCTCTTTGCAGAATCTTGCAAAACAGGGTTGTGAAATCCTATAAGAGTTAAATTAGAGCTTGGTTTAGATTATTGGTGTATTGACTTGCTTGAATGATCGAGGATAATACAAAGAAGCTATTTATCTTAATGGAAGTAATTGTCATTTATGGAAAGGATAGTTTAAAGTTCTACCATCTGGGATAAGTATGCATTTCTTGAATTTACTGGGAATTAACTTATCTTTCCATGATTGCCTATAGAAGTTCATTAGCAAACAGAAGTCTTATATATCAACTTGCACACGTTACTCTCCTGTGAAATTTACACATATATCACATATACTTTCGTCCCCAGAGATCATCCGTTACCATTTATGCATGCTTACAAACTTATCACTCTCAATAAAAATTAATCGACTTCACCCATAAACACCTACGCGAGATTGTGAACATTCATTCAACATTCTCACCTCCATCACCATGGGAACCCATTATGCACTTCAATCGCCACTCACCTTACTTCATCTATACTCTACTTTCCACACTTAAAATTCTTTAGTATACTTTTACCTTTAAATTCAATAAAGTTTCAATAATCTACTTCATAAACTCAAAATGCACTTTTAGTAAAGTTTTCCCTTGACATGTCTCTTCAATTTATAGCTTATTGGAAGCATGAAAGCCTCTGCTTGGTTTGTACTTTTTTTTTATTTTTTTTGGCTATTTGTGCTGAGTCTATTCCTCCGCCCTTTTCATTTTTGTCTATTTTTGGGTGACATGATTTTTTGTTTATTTTAAATGATCCAACAAGCATAGTATGATTACTTTGATATGCTTATTTTATTGATCAATTCATATATATATATATATATATAATACAATACACTTCCTATTAATAGAAGGTACACACAATCATACACATATTTAATTTGATACACTAAGATTATGAGAATCATTGCTATTACATAGGCATTGGACAACTTCTGAGAACTTTTTGACAACTTCTTCGCAGCAGGAGCCCATAATATCCTCCTACAGGCAGAGTATATATTCTTGCAAGCATTCCACCTTCTGCACCGTGCCACGTAGAAAGCAGAGTGGGACAATTGTAAGAACAAGTAAACCCAATGATGTCCAAGAAGGAATTCAATAGGTTATAATATCCTAATTTCTTTTACTATGAAAACCGATGAACAGATATGAACGTGGAGCTGGTATGGGGGTCTTCTTTGAGTGTGCTATTTTGTTTATACTTCTGTGATACTGCACTTCTGCACTCCAAGTTGAATGGTAGGTTTTTCTTTTTTGTTGTGTAAGTTTGGAGGGTTAGGAGGATGAATGCATTTTGTGTTAGTAATTTGGCAGCAGTAATTAGGGGCTAGTTGCAGAAGGTAAATAAATTAATGTATAAACAAAAATGCTTAGTTGTTTCTTTTTATCAAGGCAATTTGTATTAATTTATTAAATGTACCTAAATATATTTTTTTATTTATGATAGTGATAGAAACTGAGATGTTATTTAAAAAAAGAACTGCAAAAATAGTTAGGATGAAAAAAATTGAAACATAGTGTCAATTTGTGGAAAATGAGTGTGGAGAAAACCATAGTTTGGCCCACAAAACATATCAATAGTTAAAATCCAGATTCACATAAATGCAACTAAAATGAGTTAAGAACGAAGATTCAATTCAAGAAGCATTGAGAAAATCAAGCTCGAAAAATTCATAGAACTAAGCACAAACATAAACAAACTTTGTGAAAAAGTAATGCCATTGGAGCCAACAACCCAGCTGGATGGCTTCATGCTCTCAAGTCAAAACCAATTCAAATAGGTCACTTCTCAACTCAGCTGGAGTGATTGCAGGATGACTCTAGCGAATTATCGGCAGCGCCGAGCAAACTTTCCCATTTTATTAAGAGAAGATGATATGAGAAGGGCTACACTGTATTTGTAGCATGATCACCAATTCATTATTCATTATTATCAATAGCTATATTATACACTTTAAACAAATTATTATATAAGAACTTTCATTTATTTTTATTTATTAAATTAATCATTCATAATTACTATATTAAAGAAGGCTCCCCAACTTGTTGCTTTATATGTTTACTATTGTCTTTTGTTGACATGAAATTGATACAATACCCAGTTAGGATAGAGATCCATCACCACCTTTCCATTGCATTTATTAATGTGCAGCGTTGAAGCTTTTCCCTTAACTTTCTTTTTCAAAATCTTCACAACAGTTTTGGGAAGCTTCAAATTTCCGTCGGCGGAAAACTTCTGAAGAGGTGAATGCATCATGTTGCATTGTTCACCACAGAACCATTCATCCTCGGGCAATGACTGCAGTTTGTATGAAACCATTAAAAAGAATCAGTAAGTTGCTAGTAAACTAAAAACAATCAGTTTTTATGAAGCAAACCTTTAAATCATCCATCATTTTCTCTGTCAAACATCCGACCTGCAATTCTCTTTCACACTGCAAAAAAAACAAAGCCATTGTCATCATGGCAGTGCAATGTTTGGATTTTAAAAATAAATTGAAAATAGAATGAATCTATTCGCATCAATTTTATATTATCAAGAACTTATATTTATAATGAATATTTTAAAAAATTAAGCTTCATGTTGGTTGCAAGTTTTTGGATACTGTGAATAACACTTGAAAGAAAAAACCAAATACATATTTTATTTTGTAGAAAATTTTAATACACAAAACAGTAAACAAACACAGACAAAAAATTCTGACCTGTGGCTCAAATTTATAACGCTAACCCTTATTAACAAAAGGAGGCAAAAACAGGGACGATCGAACTCGGTCCAAAGGCACCAGAGACCCTCTATTCTATCCAAAGAATCCTGATCCCTAGTGAAACAACTCAAAAATAGAGAAAATCACACCTAACAAACTCACTAGTCTCTCCACAAATATTCACTGAATAATTGCCTCTCGAAAATTTCAGGCAAACGGAGAAGAGAAAACTCTATTCAGAGAGAGATTACAAGCGGCTGCGCAAATCTCGGAATGATGGGCAACCCTAATATATATGAATGAATAGCAGGGGAAAATTGGGTCACGGGTCCGGGTATGCACCAGATGTGGGTCAGGGTCGGCCAAAACTCAACAACGGTTTATAAAATAAAAAACAAAATTATATACAGGATAATTTTCATCTATAAAAATGAATTGAATTAAATTTGATTGAGTAACTATGACATAAGAGTGCAAAAAGAACCTATTATTTTTTTTTTACATAAAAAAATTATACAATCCACTGTATATTAATAGATTCCATATATTAAGCTTTCATTTAATTTTTAAAGACATTAAAGAGGTGTTTGAGAAATAACATTGTCGAGAGTTTTAATTTATTGAACATAAAAAATACTAATTTCAGTATTTGGTAAATTAGCTTGTTGAAATAGCTTATTGGTCCCAAAAAATTAATTTTTGTTTGACCTTCAAATAAATCATTCATTTACACATAGTAATATATTAATCATTGTAGTATTTATTAATTTTGTTGATATATATTTTTGGTTAACTTTTAAATTTTCTTTTATAAATTTAATATAATTGAAATTTTATTATTAATTTATTTATATATACTTATTTATTGTTTGTCACATAAATTTTTTAATTACAGATAAATATAAAAGAATAGATTTATTTAAATTATAAATAATAAAAAATCTAATTAAAAATTAATTTAATAAAAAATATATATAATATTTTTACAAAATATTTAAATAAAATTTTCAATAAGTAATAATAAAAATTCTAGAAAATCCTATATAATGAAGAACATTACTAAATATTTTAATAATGAAATAAAAAATGTTCTTAATTATCATTTTGCCTATAAACACCTAATATCAAACCGCTCTTTTATCAAACACTTCAGTAAAAACGTTAATCGAATTAGCTGGTCAAATCAGATAATCGAATTAACTAGTCAAACTAACTAATCGAATCCGCTAATAATTATCAACTATCGGCTAATTGTCAAATGATTTCTGAAATACCAGCACACGTTCCATTAAAGCTAAATAAATCTAAACAAATCAATCTTTATTAAATCTGAAATGAATAAAATCATATATACCTGCTGGCGTATCATTATTGTCTGGTCGTTGAAGATATTTGTGGAAAAAGAGTTACCCCTGCAAAAACAAATACATCTGCAAACTTTCTCAGCATTTTGTTTTATTTATTTGCATTTCATTTTAAATGTAAAAAAGTGTTTGAATAACATGTCTTTTCAAATGTACCTGCAGATGAAGCATTTATATATGTCTGTCTTCGTAATGATCATCTCTACTACCACTGCTGCTCGGCGTGTTGGCAGTCACCTAGATTGGAATTAAGATTCACACCAAAAACACGAGGCAAATAGCAAGGAAGAAGAATAGAACAGTAGCAAACTCTGTTTTTGCGTTTTCTGGAATGCAGTCTGTTTCCATTGCCTCCTCTTGTGTATGTCAAACCATATTGCACTGTACCTTTCAAGTATTGAAGTTCATTTTCACTGCCTTCAGATGGCTTTTGGACTGCTCATATAGCGACTAGCGACCCCAACAGAGTAAGCAAGGTCTGGTCTTGTATAAGTCAAGTATCGAAGACGACCAATGAGTTGGCGATAATTTGTTGCATTTACAGGTGTGCCTTCCTCATCCATCGATAGGCTAAAATTTGCATCCATCTGCCACTTTGTTGGGTTACAGTCCCACGTTCCAGCTGCTTGTAGAATCCCATTTGCATACCCGGCTTGACTTATTTCGATGCCATTCTCACTTTGCCCCACTTCTACTCCCAAGTAGTATGTCAACATCCCCAAGTCACTCATATCAAACACCTGCTGCATTTTTCCTTTGAATCGAGTTACTTGGTCTTCATTTGATCCGATGACAATTAAATCATCCACATATACGCCAACTATCAAAATTGTGTTGGAACGATGAAGCTTATACACCGCTTGCTCTTGTGAACACCTTGTAAAGCCCAAATCTTTAAGTATCTTATCAAGACGTATGTTCCATGCTCGTAGCGCTTGGCGTAATCCATAGAGGTCCTTGTATAGTCGGTATACCATATGCTCCTTCCCTTTAGCAACAAAACCATCGGGTTGAGACACGTATTCTTTCTCTTGAAGTTCTCCATTTAAGAATGCCGACTTCACATCAAGATGATAGACCAACCATCCTTTCATTGCAGTTATAGCCAATTGCAGCCTTATAATTTCCAACCGGGTCACCGGTGCAAAAACTTCATCAAAATTGCTCCCTTTCTGTTGAACATATCCATTTGCGACCAATCGAGCTTTGTGTTTGATGATATTTCCGTCAGCATCTTTCTTAGCTTTAAACACCCATTTCAGTCTGATTGGTTCGTCCCCAGGTGGAAGAGTTGTAAGCTTCCAAGTACGATTCTTTTCAATCGAACTTAATTCCGCTTTCATTGCTTCTTGCCACGAAGGAACACCAGCTGCCTCTGTAAATGTTGTAGGTTCATCACCTACAAACATCAATTCATCGGCATGCTCCGTCTCATTGTAGATATCAGTGAGACTTCGAAAGCCTTTAATAGGAGTGTGTTCATACATCGAGGGGTCCACATTTTCTACAATATTTTCGCTCGAAGGAGCTGCATTCGGAGCTGCTGCAGAATTTCCATCAGCATGCTCAGCAGAAGGTTCGGGCTGATGGTCTCTGTTGGTGTCGGCTGGTAGTTCTTCTTTCGGGATATGATTGAAAGAATCGTTAACCACAATTTATTTGCATCAGCCTCTTCCGTGTGTGATTGGGCCCAACTCAATTTTTTTTTCATCGAAAATGACATCACAAGCAACCAAAACCTTCAGCTCAAGTGGGTTCATCATTCGGTACGCTTTAGAACCCGACTCAACACCCAAATAAATCATTGGAGTGCTGCAATTGCTCAGCTTCGAGACGTGATCAGCCAGCTTCTTCACATACCCAATGCACCCAAACACCTTTAGGTGCTCAAGTGTCGGTTTAAATCATTTTAGACCTTCCTATGGCGTCACCCCTTTCAATCCTTTAGTCGGAATTCGGTTGAGTATGTAGACAGCATGTCTGACGGCTTCACGCCATATTACATCAGGCACATTCATCGTTCGTGAGAAAGACCTCGTAACTTCAAGAATGCTTCTGTTACGACTCTCCGCCACACCATTTTGTTGAGGGGAGTAAGGGGCTGTAAGTTGCCTCTGAATTCCTTCCTGCTCACAAAACTCATTAAACTTTTTAGAGGTGAATTCCCCCACAATCAGTCCGCAATCCTTTCAACTTCATTGATGTGCCTTTTTCAATTTTAACTTTGAATTTCGCGAAATTGACAAAGGCTTCATCCTTATATTTCAACATAAAAAATCACATGTAACGACTGAAATCATCGACTATTAACATGAAGTAACGATTACCTGACGCCGTTGCGAGAGATATCGGACCACATAGATCTACATGAACCAATTCAAGAGGTTTACTTGCCTGCCATTGAGCTTCTTGGGGAACGGATGTCTTGATTGTTTTGCAAGAATGCATCCCTTACAAACTTGTGTAGAATGTTGTATAATGGGAATGCCACGAACCAATTCATTTCGAACCATCCACTCGATTGTAAAAAAATTCATGTGATCCGATCGAGCCTGCCACATCGATGCTTTGTTATCAAGATTCGCCATTAGACAAACGAGTTAAGTAGTCTCGAGTGCAATCTTATACCATCGATTTCTCGATCGTTCCACCATCATAATTAGGCGACCAACCTCATCATGAATCTTTAAAAAATCGTTCAGCGTGTTATTTCTAGGAACCAACAGGGATTCTCACCATCATAATTAGGCGACCAACCTCATCATGAATCTTTAAAAAATCGTTCAGCGTGTTATTTCTAGGAACCAACAGGGATTCTCGATGTATATGAATAAGGAAATATAAAATTATCCCAAATAGAAGTAAGTTTCCTAAGGAAAAATAAATATGGATAAATAAGATTTGCATGTAGAAGACAAATAAATATTGTGAAATGATGTTCTATCACTGGGTATGTTCTAGGGTCAAAATTTGAAAATTTAATGCAAAGATGACCCCATGAAATAGGATTTGGTTACCTTGAAGTACTGGAAGTGCTTGGCTTGGAAGTGATAAATCAGAGGAGAGAATCCATTGGCTTTTAGAGTGGACATAAATGATTTGAAGGAAACATGATAGGGAATGGGAGGGTTTTTGAGCTTTCAAACTCCACTGCTAGTTACTTTGTAATATTCGAAGAATGTAGGGACCAGAATTGAATGATTCAGAAGTGGAGTGCCTTATATTTTGCAACCTCGCAAGGGTAGCCTCAGGAAATGTGAAATTCTTATAAGCATAAAAATCAATTGAAGTAATTACAAGGTAAAAAAGCCGACTAAAATGCAAGAAATAAAATGAATGCAATAAACTATTTTAGAAAAATTTTCTAGGTCAAAAGTTCGTGAAACATTTTCACTAGGGTGGTCAAATAACGATGTTGTGAAGGTTACAATATTCTATACGGATCTACTCCTGCTTGTTAGCGGAACAGGAAAAAAAATAAGAACAAAGGAGAATATTTTATTTCAAATTTTAAACCAACGGTTGCAACTCCTAATAATATGCACATATTATTTATTTAATAACAATAATAATTTGAAGCACTTAATTAACACTCCCCCTTGCTTCAAAGCTTGACACTCGAAATAATCATGTTTGGCTTGAGGAAGTGATTTGGTGAAGATATCTGCTACTTGCACGTTGGTTCCACAAAAAGTCACTGCAATTGTTCAATTTGCTACAAGTTGTCAAATGAAGTGATGCTGCACGTCAATATGTTTTGTCCTCCCATGGAAAGCTGGATTTTTTGTGTTAGAAATTTTGGGGGAAAATAATGAGATTATTTTATTATCGTCAAAACAAGGAGCCTATATATAGGCCATACAAAATAGACTCGATAAACTCAAATCT